TTCTGCCTCAGCCTTCCAAGAGCTGGAATTACAGGCGCGTGCTACCACGCCCTGCTGATTTTTTGATTAATTGTAGAGATAAGGTCTCGTTGCCCAGGCGGGTCTCGAACCCTTGGGCTCAGGCGATCCACTCACCTCAGCCTCCCAAAGGCGCGGGATTACAGGCTGAACCACTGAGCCCGGCTCCCTTCACCCTTTTTAAGACTCAGTGTGAACAAAGAGCCTAAGAAATGGGGTCCAGAGAAGTTTTTTTAGTTTAGTTTTGAGTTGGAGTCTCACTCCGTCGCCCAGGCTGGAGTACAGTGGCACACTGATGGCCACCCCAGCGTCAACCTGCTGGACTCAGGGGGTCCTTCGCCTCAGCCTTCCCAGTAGCCGGAACTACAGGCGTGCGCTACCATGCCCGGCTAATTTTTTATTTATTGTAGAGATGAGGTCTCACCAAGTTGCCCAGGCGAATCTCGAACCCGCGGGCTCAGGCAGTCCACTCACCTCAGTCTCCCAAGGCGCGGGATTACAGGCTGAGCCACTGAGCCCGGCTGTGTTCACATTTTTAATTGAATCATCTGACAGTACGTTACAGATGTTATCAGAGTTCACACCAAATCCTCAGCCTGTATCTCCTAAGAGCAAAGACAACGGACATGGCCACAATCCAGGATTACACAAAAAAACAGATCTTTGATTTTGGCCGGGCATGGTAGCTCATGCCTGTAATCCCAGCACTTTGGGTGGCCGAAATGAGAGGACTGCCTGAGTCTAGAGATTGAAGACCAGCCTGGGCAACTTGGCGAGAACTCGTCTCTACAATAAATCAAAAAATTGGCCGGGCGTGGTAGCATGTACCTGTAGTCCCAGCTATTTGGAAGGCTGAGGCAAGGATCTGCCTGAGCCCAGCAGGTCGAGGCTGCAGTAGCTGTGAGCATGACCCTGCACTCCAGGCTGGGTGACAGACTGAGATTCCGACTAAAAAGATATATATATATATATATATATATATTTGGTTTCGTCGAGCCACTGAATTAACCTGCCATGGAAAACCCCTGGCTTCAGACTTCTTGTTACGTAAAAGTTTTTCTTAATTTTAAAGCAGTTTTGATCAAGTTTTCTGTTAGTTGCAGCCACAAACCCTCCTGATACACAGGCCTCAGGTACATTACAGAAAACATTAAAATCAACCCATACCCCACATTAAATGTATTATTTCTTTTCCAAAGTATTTTTATACTTTGGGCATTATTTGACTACCAGGACCTAATTTAGGACTGACTGACCTGTAGGAATACTTGGAAACAGTTTTGAAGTAAGAAAACCCAACCTACAAAGTTGTTTTCAAATGTGATGAAATTTTTATGACTACCTAATTTAATATTTCATTAAGTTTAAACTAGTAAACATTTATTAATTTCAACTTTGCAGGCTTAGTTTTTTTGGAGCCAATACATTTTTCCCCCAGATCTCTCATATTTTCTAAGCTCTTCAAAATAGATTCCTGTGAGTCTATAATTATTTTCAAAATAAAATGCTAAAAACATCTTAAAGGCCCAGACCGGAGCCCCACCCAGATCTAGGAGAGCAGGTGTGGTGCCCCAAAGGAAGGTTGGGCCTGCTGTCAGAAGAGTATAGGCACCAGGTGGGAAGGCAGAAGGTGTGGGGTGGGGACTGTCTGGACAGGTGGAACAGCCTGAGTACAGGCTAGGAGGGTGGCGGGATGAATGGAGCCGGAGGGGGCGGGCTAAAGCATCAGGGCTGGGTGTTCCCCACCTTCATGGAGCAAGAGGGAAAAGACAGCTTCAAGTCTGGGTGTCCTCAGCTCAGCAGATGAAAGGGTTTGGGGTGTGGCTTCCTGTGTGACCTTGGTCAAGTGGCCACCCTCTCCGGGTTGTTTCTGCATCGTTAAATAGAGGGGACAGGTCAAGCATGGTGTCTTGGGGTTCCTCCCTGCTTTGACAGCTAGGACTCTGGAGCTGGCTCCAGAGCCGTGGCAGCTGTGTTGGCAGGAAGTGTGTACGGTGCCTCTGTAGGTCCAGCCACCCTCCCCTCCACTGCAAGCTGAAGGAGGTGCAGCCTCCATCCAGGCAGGGCGGTAGCCTGCAGGCTGAGAACAGCTGCGATAGATCCCTTGTCTGGCCCCACTGAGCTCATGTCTTGGCAGCAGCCAAGGACAGAGGAATTCCAGAGAACCTGCAGGAGAATCCCTGGGGTGGGGACCTTGGGGCACACAGGAGAGAACATGACCTGGAGCTCTTCTTATACATCACAATTGTCATCCTCCAAGCAGCTAGGGAGTAGGTGATGTCATTCCCACCTTCCAGGCCTGGAAACAGGTTCAGAGAAGTCAGAGGCTTCTGCTACAGTCACAGCCAGGCAGCCCCCAGTGCGAACTTGCCTCTCTTCTGATTCGAGCTGCAGCTTCATTCTCCTCTGCAGAAGGTTCACCCAGCTGGCACCCACAAAGCAGGGGTGAGGTATAACCTAGTGCAACAAGAGCAGGATGTCACTCCTAAATTTACAGATGGAGAGACTGAGGCAAGCAGGGAGAAGTGACTTTGCCAGGATGCCCGGAGGCAGGGGAGGATGGCACAGCCAGAACCCAAGTCTCCAGGTTCCAAAGGGGGCCTTTCTTCTAAGGACTTGTCACCGTGCCATGCTGCCTCTGCTAGCTAGGGAGGCCAGGCCCTGCAGAGTATACAGTCCCTCCACCCAAGGGCAAACACTTCCTGGTGTTGAGCCCATTTTCCAGGTTGGGGAAAGGATGTAGGAGCCATTACTGAGGCCTGCAAGCCCAACCTGCCAGCGAGGACCACACCTGAAGCACCTCTGGTCCTCAGGCTAGGGCTATGCCCACAATGTCCCTCCTCGATCTGGCAGAGAGAGAAAGGCAGTGAAGCAGGGCTGGGCCCCACCCACCTCTTCCTATGACTGAGGTTTTGGGGAGGCCCCAAGGAAAAAGTGAAGCTGCTGAGGTTGGTTTCCAAGGCAGCCGTTTGGCCTGGGAGGAGGGTAGGGAGCTCACAGGGGGTGCAACCAGGCCCTCTCTGGGTCTGCCTTTTGGCCCTACACACCCCTCATTCTGAGCTGGGGTAGGCTCCAGTCATCTGGAGGAAGGTGCCCTGGGGGCTGGGGGGTGGAGGGCGCCAGGCTGGGGAGGCAGGGTGGGTTTGCTGGCCTGGCTTCCAGATGTGAGTCACTGCTATCCACATCTTCCTCCCTCTTTAGTGCTGGCAGTTTCACAAGGAGGATGGCCTTGTGGAGGAGGTCCCCGGACAATTGTTCGATGCTCCCCATGCCCTTTCACCAGGGTTCTGAGTGTGAAGCTGTTGCAGGAAAGCAGAGAGACCGTGACATCGAGCCTTTCTTAGGAAGTAGCGTTTTATTAGCACTGGCGCGACTTAGCAGGCTAATGTTCCAAGGCTGAGCAACCCGGAGAAAGAGCTGAGAGAGGTTGTTTTGTTTTGTTTTTGAGTTGGAGTCTCACTCCTTTGCCCAGCTGGTGTGCAGTGGCACACACACTCACAGCCAATCCAGCCTCGACCTACTGGGCTCCGGTGATCCTTCCGCCTCAGCCTTCCAAGTAGCCGGAACAACAGACATATGCTACCACGCCCAGCTATTTTTTATTTTTTTATTGTGGAGACAAGGTCTTGCCAAGTTGCCCGGACTGGTCTCGAATCCATGGGCTCAGGCAATCCACTCACCTCGGCCTCCCAAAGTGCTGAGATTACAGGCTGAGCCACCTAGTCTGACCAGGAGAGGGGTTTTATATGTTAGTTTAGGTAAGGCGGGTCGGGTTGTATAGCTATACATCTTTCTTTGGAATTTGCAAGGGTTGTATTTAGCAAAACCAGATTTTCTTTTTTTTTTTTTTTTGAGTTGGAGTCTCACAGTCGCCCTGGCTGGAGTGCAGTGGCCGCTCCCGGCCACCGCAGCCTCGACCTG